CGCCGCGGAGGGTTACCCGAATTACCATCGATCCATCGAAAATGGTATGAGGTAAGCTAGGGAGCGAGCGCAAAGAGGAGAGAAAAGACGAGAGACAGAGAAAGCTACACCGACAGAGGGTCGAAGAGGGTGCACAACCAACGGAACCCTATCGCCAGGGGTTCGAGAGGAAAAGGGAGAAGGAGGGCGACGAGTCGAGTCGAGAAGAGGGCGGGGCGTACGCGTACCACACGTTTCTATCTCTATGTTCTATACCTATTGCCTTTCCCTTCTTTCCTCCTCCTTGTTTTCCTTCTTTCTCCTTTCACCCCTCGCGTGCCTCACTCTTTCCTTATCCCTTATTTACCACCCCTTCTTTCGCTTTATACGCGAGTGTCACCCGGTATTCCTGCACTTCTATATTCTCCTTCACCTTAATATGTGCTTCCTGTACTCCTTGGATCTCTCGCGTGCCTGTTCGATTAATTTCCTACTCTTTCTTACGGTGAGATGCCTCCTTTCTTTGCTTCTCATCGAATTCTCTAACCCATTGGCATACTGATTTCGTTATATACACTATGTATATAGAGTGGCGGATGATGATCTATTATGAAATAGAAAGACATGGTAATTTTATGAAATGGATTCATATTTAACGAGGGCGATGAATAAATGTAATAGACGTACAATTTCACAGAATAGACGACTATTATCAGTGTGGTAAAATATTGCTAATACAAAAGTTAATTCAATTCGTATGTAGTGTATCAGTTTTGAACTTTCTTCTGTCTGTCACTGTGTGTCTGATACTGGAATTTCGTTCAAACTTGGATTCAGACGATTCAAAATTTAGGTAAGTTCTTTAAGTCTGCAGTTCTCGTTCAAGGTTGTGCTATTTACGAAAAGGAAACATTTAGAAAATAATAGCAATTAAAAGACACCTAGCAGAACTATGCATGGGAATGGGATGATTATTTTTCTCTATTATAGATCCTTTTCTTATCGATTCTAATCGATCTTGATCGATTAATCTCTTAAACTCTTTTCTACGCTTTTGCGATATGTCAAAATGGTAAGATTTCCCTTTCTAGTCGTCGAATTCTTTAATTGTACTTAAGTTATCGCGTCTTACCCTCTGTCGCTTGGTTACTGCTCCATTTTCCGTTAGATTCGTTTTTCTCTCTTTTCGATCGTCGTACCTTGATACGATCGCTTCGTCGCTATTTGGAGCTTCTTCGATTTCTTCGCAAACAAGTGCACCGCAGCGTCGAAGCTATCGCTAGAGAGAACTTTGCTCGTACGAAACTGCAAAAATGGAGAAATATAGGTCGTGGAATGATGAGAATTTAGACAGCTCTTTGCATCTTGCCTTGCCACGGTCAAGATGAGAAATTGTTCTGTCACTGTTATCGTATACGTGTCATTCTTAAGGCGGCACGTAAATCGTTCGACGAAAATATAGCGATGGCCATTTCCGCTATAAGTTCATCCGAATATCGCAGTTACATACGCATGCATCTCATGAATCGATAAAAGAAGCACACCGACTCTGGTTATTTCGTTCATCTGGCTCGATACCTAATGCGGAGACATGCTTCGTTTGCAGTTCGCACGATCGAAGTTTCTGGTACGCAGCGACAATAAAAGATATTCACATATATCGCCTTGGGATCCATTAAGTAAACGCAACTTCTCTATGAGCTGTCGTATACATGCAAACATTTTTAGCCGAGTGCGCTCTGTGGAAAAATGTAAATCCAGGTCAACGTTATTCTGAATAGGAGACTGACAGAGAAACGAAAACATATATAGAAGTTAGCGCAATATCTTTTTAAGGTAAGCTTTCGAGTTTGCTCGTTGTTTGCATCGTACAGAAACACGCGAATCATATCGACGTACAAAATGAAATACGCACACATCCGCACCTTTCGCCGCCTTCTTTTAAAAGGTACGCGAATAATTATCGTTGCACAATTTTTAATCCGAATACCGTGGCTCGTCAACTTTATAGAACGCGGGTATCTTTCCAAGACTAGCTTTCGAGTCTGGTTATTGTTTCTATCGTACAGAAACGCATAGACAATATCGATGTACGAAACGGAATACGCAAAACATCAAACGCCTTTCACCTGCCTTTAAAAACCACGCGAATAATTATCATCGTATAATTTTTAACACGAATAACGTGGGTCACCGACTTAATAAAAACGAACAGATGCGTATTGTGTACGTATATATCGACGAGTGGAAACCGTCGCGACATTATCGTTAAAATTTTACGACATTGCAGAATAGCTGCTTAGTATGGAACGCATTGGATGTATCGAGGTAATGGCGTGACATACATAGTGCAGCTTTATCTCGCTTCGTTGTCGGACGAATCCGACGGGTGATCCGACGATAAATCGATGGCTTTCAAAGGTGAGCCAAACACGGTGCTTGGAAACGGAAATTCATCAGCGAGTACAAGCACGGAAAAGATATTCGCTCTAGATGGCGAGTGCAACAAGTCAAAAGTATCAGACAAGTTGAGATTATTACGGGCTAGTTGCTTCGCGTGATACGTTCCACCGTATTAATTACAATCACGGCAGAGCAAATTGGTCTGCGAGCTAGTCCACCGAGGCAAATAGTCGCTCGAAGCTGAGGTGACCGCAGTAAAATTGAACGTGTCAGTAACAGCGTAAACAACTGGATAGGCAAACGTCGGATGCATCTTGGAAGCGGCAGAAATCCTTACGCGAGACCATGAAACGAGGACCGCTTCGTGACAGGGAAGCCGGAAATTACGTAATTTCCTTACATTCTGCCAGGAGTTGAACGCTTTATACGAGACGCGCCGTCGACGCTTTGGAATATCGAATTTCTAATCGAATCAATAATTACGAAATATCGCGTAGAGGAAAGCACTGAAAACGCTTCTTCCCTGAACGCCGTCGTCGTACAACGTTTTCCTCTCTTTTCCATTTCGAAGCTTTGTCCTTTGTAAGGAAAAAGGAAACCCTTAGCTGTGAGAAATGGAATGATATCGCGACAAGCTGACTATATACGATATTTTTATATAACGGATGTTCTTAGTCTTATCTTTTAAAGCAACAACGTTTCCTTTGAATTTTTCCCTTTAATCACTTGCAACCGTGTTACACATTCTTTCTTTGCATTTCCTTGTAACATCAAAGTGAATTAAAAAATATGATCTACGAATCGTCCATCGTCTAGCTAGGAGAATGAAAAAGAAGCAAAGCGAATATCACGTTGGTATGTGCGTATGGATTCTCGGTGTTCCTCGGATGCCCGCCAGACTTTGGTTCCAGGAGATGCTACTGTAGAATCACGTCCTGAGACTGGCGAAGTGCAAATCCATGTTAGTGGTATAATGCTCCACTATAAGTCTCGGAATTATGTGAACCGTGATAAGCATGCCGAAAAGCGGGAAAACACGATTATCTTTCGGGCATTCAACGTTGGATTATGTCATTGTGTTTATACTTTTCATGTCGACTATTGCTAATAAACCCGAATTGAACTGTCACCAGAGATAAGAGAACGGGAGATAAGAGTCGGTATTGTCAACTGGCACTTGGTATAAAGCGTGACAAACACAAGCTGGGTAAAAACTTTAGAATCTCTGCGCGGAAAATATTCTTCTAATTTGTTATTAACATTGCAACCACGTTCCTCTGATATCCATCTAAATACATATATTGCCCATAGATGATTAGAATTGAATGGACGTGGTAACGATAAATTAATGATAATCATATTTAATCGTAGATTATAACATGTAACCGTATTTCAATTTGAATAAAAATCAACGCTGATTTTGTCAAAAACCTCTGCCGGTTTCTAATAAATTGCGAAAACAAAATACTTGGAACTCGACGTTTTGTTTGGTAGTTCTAGTTTTTTATTTGTAATCGATGTTACGGATATCAACAACGATTTGAACAATCCAGATATCGCGGGTCACGAGATAAAATGAAATTTTTCTTTCATCTATGTTTTCCCTCCATTTCCGGCGTATTTTGATATTCGTATTATTAGATCTTCCATCGTATTTGTTCTATTTGTGTATTCGTTTCGTTAATGATTCCATAAAGCAAATTTCGGAATTTCCTGTCCAAAGTTTCCGCGATAATGTTTAA